TGAGAAGACAGCAACAGACAGTAAGTGCCGCCTATGCAAAGAAGCTGAAGAAACAGTGGACCACCTGGTAAGCTGTTGCAAGAAGATTGCACAGACTGACTACAAGCAGCGGCATGACAAAGTAGCAACAATGGTGCATTGGAAGATCTGCAAAAAATATCATTTGCCTGTAAGCAAAAACTGGTGGGATCATAAAATAGAGAAAGTCATAGAAAATGATAAAATTAAACTGCTCTGGGACTTCAGAATTCAAACAGACAAGCACCTGCAACATAACACCCCAGACTTAACAATTGTCGATAAGAAAGACAAAAAAGTCTGGATAGTGGACGTGGCAGTGCCTGGAGATAGCAGAATAGAAGAGAAAGAACTGGAGAAGATAACAAAATACAAAGACCTACAAATAGAAATAGAAAGACTGTGGCAAAAGCAAGCAAGGGTAGTACCAATAGTAATAGGCTCCTTGGGTGCAATCCCAAAACAACTGGAGCACCACTTGAACACCATTGGCATTGACAAATTTGCTATTAGTCAATTGCAAAAGGCGGCCTTATTAGGAACTGCTTCCATCCTGCGACGATACCTGTAATACCATCAAACATCCACATCTGCCTATCCCAGGTCCTGGGTAAGGACTCGATAGGTAGACAAAATGCCAAATCCAGTCTGAACATCTGGCTGACTGTGCGATGAATGATAATAATAATAATAGTAATAGTAAAGTTGGAAGGGACCTTGGAGGTCATCTAGTCCAATCCCCTGCTCAGGCAGGAAACCCTACACCATTTCGGACAAATTGAACCTGGTCTTTCCTCTGACAATACCTCAGATTCATCTCAATTACTGTAGGTGTCAAACTTGCAACGTCACGTGATGTGTCACGACATATCATGACTTTTTTTCCATTGCTGGCAGTGGGGTGGGCGTGGTTTCGCTATGATGCATTTGGCCCATGGGCCGGAAGTTTGACACCCCTACTATAGGCCTTCTGAAAAAAGTATCTCTTCTGGTAGGACACCAATGCATGGCCAGACTGATATCAACCAGGTGGCTGTTTCACAATGAGGACACGGCTACTGAAAAGCAATAGCAGCATACTTCAGTCTTCTCCATGTTGTAATACTGAAGAATAAGAAGCAGGAATGTGCAGGTGAGCAAGTTAACTCCAGCTGGAGAAGACAGTCCTGAAGGTACTTCAACACCAAGCCATCCAGGAAGGAGCATTAGAGGTTCAGACTGCACTTTGACTTGCATCCAAAAACAAATTAGAGTCCAGTGCAGGGCTTGGAACAATAGGGTAGCATAGTGTTGTGATTCCTCGCCAGCCAGTGGATCCGGCAGCTGAGTCTGAGGAATCAGATGAGGAGGAGGGGTTTGGAGTGACATTAGAGTCAGAGGAAGGTTCTGAGAAGCTCCAAGACTTACAGTTGGATGAGGACCCTGGCCCCTCTACTCGTGCCCAGGCTGAGACACAGCTGTGCTGGGAGCCTGAGTTGGACAATGATGAAGAACAGTTGGGACAAATCCAGGAAGCATGAAAGCACAGGCAAGAGAAGCGAGTAGGACAGAGGAATGCAATGGGGTGGATCCAAAGGCAAAGGAGAAGGCATTAGGAAGCCATGCCTTGGCTGCACAATAAAAGGGAAGGTGTGGGAGGTGCTGGTTGCCGAAGGCAACCGTTTGTGTTGAGGATTGAGTTTCTGTGGACTGTGTTTGTTTGCCTTGGACATTGACTCAGGTCTGTGAATAATAAAAGGGGTTGTTTTTTTCTTGTGGTTCCTGCCTATTTCTTGGAAGAGGGGTTTCTTCTTGTGAGCATAACAAGGACTCACGTAGGCTGGGACAGAACACATGCTTAAGGCTGAGCATTTAATCCTCAGAGGCAGCTCTATGAGGAGCACATTACAGTAGTCCAGAATTCATGAAGATGAGCCTCACTGTCCCCAGTGCTTCCTCCTGAAGCAGTTGTTTTAGGGTTCCCCGGTGCTATCTGAGTTTGACTGTCTAGGGCAGGGGTAGGCAACCTTGGCTCTTTTAGGACTTGTGGACTACAACCCCGAGAATTCCTGAGCCAGCATGGCTGGTTCATGAATTCTGGATATTGAAGTCCACAAGTCGTAAAAGAGCCAAGGTTGCCTACCCTGGACTAGGGAGATTCTCAGTCATCCAGATCATTGTTATCCCAAAGAGCCCTGGTGGTGCAATGGTTAGAATGTAGTACTGCAGGCTACCTCTGCTGACTGCCGGCTGCCAGCAGTTCTGCAGTTTGAATCTCATCGGCTCAAGGTTGACTCAGCCTTCCATCCTTCCGAGGACAGTAAAATGAGGACCCAGATTGTTGTGGGCAAGAGGCTGTCTCTGTAAACCATTTATAGAGGGCTGTACAGCACTGTGAAGCGGTATATACCATAAGTCTAAGTGCTATTGCTAAAGGTGCTTTTTTCATGAGGCAACTGGACTGTCTTGTTTTTCTTTGAAGACATTTCACTTCTCATCCCAGAAGCTTCTTCAGGCTTGCCTGGATGGTGGGGAATGGAAGGATTTATATTCCTTGCAGACAGCTGATCATTTGCATTCTTTTAGAGAGTAGTGCTAGTGCACAATGCTAGCACTATGATGATGTTACCTAGTTGGGTAATGGAACGTCTGCAAGAAAACAGCCAAGCTCAGAGAGCACCCAGAATCCCCTCAGTTCAACACTGAGCTACAAATATTCTCTTCCAGTGGCATTTGCCTTATTTGTTTAGAAGTAGAGGGCTCCTAATTGCTGCCTCGGGCAGTCTATGAAATGCTGTCTAAGTATATTTGAACTGGCATGTCCATATCCCTAGATATGTAGCACTTTTGAATTTTTTCTCCCCAGGTTTCTTTTGGTGCCATTGTGAAAATCCATGCTGTGTGTATTTGCCATTTTCGCACCTTTGAGATGATACTAAAAGATAATAATTTATTACAGTAATACCTTGGTACTCAACTGCTTTGAAACTCATCAAATTTGATACTCAATGCATTTTGATGCAAAAATCTTGTCCCTGTACTCATCGTTTGTTTAGTACTCATTGCACAAGCTAGAACTTGTCGATGTCAGTTGCCTTGTGACTCACTATCCTCATGGGAAAAATTTGTTTGGTACTCATCATTTTTAGTACTCATTGTGCCTCCTAGAACCAATTAATGATGAGTATCGAGGCACCACTTTACTTGAAGAATCAGAACATTCTCCCGAAGTAATGTTTTTAGTTCTCTAAATCTGAAAACAGATCCGTTATTCAGAGCCCGTTATTTCCAGCAATACAATAAATCATGCAATGCATTTGTTCTATTTCCTCTTTGGCCAAGTTTCATTTTCCCTCTTAGGAAGAAAGTAAAATGCTTCAACTGTGAATGTCCTTGACTTCAGAACTTTTCCGCTAGGAATTGTCCTGTTCCAGAGGAGAATTAATGAAAGGCTCCCTATAGTTGATCCTCCATATGAATAAATTTGTATCATTAGTCGCTTCTAATTGGACTATATGTTACTTGGACTATATGTTACTTGGATATTGGGATCGTCTCAATTGTTCATTCTGGGGAATTCTGGGAGTTGAAGCCGACATATCTTAATGTTGCCAAGGCTAAGAAACACTAAACCAGATATTGGTTATCTTGGCCCCAAATTTCAGTTCTGTTTAAGATCTAAACTGGGCTTCCCTATCCTAATATGTTTATACCAAAATACAAAATAACAGAGATGAAAGGGATGTTGGAGATCTTCTGGTCCAATCCACTGCTCAAGTAGGAGACAGAGAAGAGCAACAAAGATGACTAGGGGACTGGAGGCAAAACATATAAGTAATGGTGGCTGGAATTGGGTATGTCTAGTTTAATGAAAAGAAGGACTAGGGGTGACATGATAGCAGTGTTCCAGTATCTCAGGGGCTGCCACAAAGAAGAGGAAGTCAAGCTATTCTCCAAAGCACCTGAAGGCAGGACAAGAAGCAACTAATCAAGGAGAGAAACAACCTAGAACTAAGGAGAAACTTCCTGACAGTTAGAACAATTAATCAGTGGAACAACCTGCCTCCAGAAGCGGTGAATGCTCCAACACTGGAACTCTTTAAGAAGAGACTGGACAGCCATTTGTCTGAAATGGTATAGGGTTTCTTGCCTGAGCAGGGGGTTGGACTAGATGACCTCCAAGGTCCCTTCCAACTTCATCATCATCATCATCATCATCATCATCATCATTATTATTATTATTATTATTATTATTATTATTATTACATCACACCATTCTGGGCAAATGGCTGTCCAATCTCTTCTTGAAAACCTCTGCTGATGGAGCACCCACAACGTCTGGAGGCAAGCTGCTCCACTGATCAGTTGTTCTCTGTGACAAAATTTTCCCCTTAATTCTAGCTTGGATCTCTCTTTAATAAGCTTCCATCTAGTATTTATTTATTTATTTTTAAAATTTATAAGCCGCCCCACTCCCGGAGGACTCTGGGCGGCTAACAATAAAAACACATAAAACATAACAAAACAACCAGTACAAGAACAGTCATCCAGGGGTCAGATTTTATAAACCCCAGGCCTGCCGGAAAAGCCAGGTCTTAAGCAACTTACGGAAAACCAACAGGGTGGGAGCGGTCCTAATCTCCGGGGGGAGCTGGTTCCAAAACGTGGGCGCCATCACAGAGAAAGCCCTCCTCCGCGGCCCCGCCAAATGGCACTGCTTGGCCGACGGGACCTGAAGGAGGCCCAGCCTGTGGGATCTAACCGGATGAAGGGAACTATGAGGTAGTAGGCAGTTTCTTGTCCTGCCTTCAGGTTCTTGGGGGAATAGCTTGACTCCCTCTTCTTTGTGGCAGCCCCTGAGATATTTAAGCACTGCTATGATGTCATCCTTTGTTCTTCTCTTTGCTAGACTAAGTGTACTCAGTTCCCTCAATCATTCGTAGTATAGTTTTAGCCTCCAGTCCTCTAATCATCTTATTTGCTCTTCTCTGCACTCTTTCCAGAGTCTCAACATGGTGACCAGAACTGAATGCAGTATTCCATATATGGCAATCACACTTTTGTACTACAATTCTCAGAAATTTCTGCAAGAAGGTAGGCTGGGATTTTGGGAATTTCCATCCCAACTCAACTCAATTCAAAACCACCAGGCGTGGAGGAAGCCCAGCTCAAGTTGCAAGTAGTCCAAGTTGTCTAGATTATCCAGTTGTACGTATATACAGTTGCATTTATTTATAACCATAAAGTGAGGTTACCTAATCTCATAAATGCCAATTGACCAGCTGACTCTGGAAGGATATCAATTGCAGGCCGTTCCACAGGAGGCCATGGTGCCCTCATGCTTGCCCCCCCAAAATCTTGGAAAATATAAAATCTCTGCCAGCATTTGCAACACACTTCAGTATCCATTTGGGAAAAGGCTTTTAGGGAATATCTAGGATCAAACACAGCAAACTGGGGATCCTCTGTTGCCACACGAATCACGAAAATTCATCAGGGTTCTCCTCTCAATATCCTAATGGACCAAGATGATTAGTTCCTTAGGGTGGGGCAATTGTTTCTGGATGACCCTATTCAAACAAAATCCTTCACCAGATCATGAACTGGGTTAGTATGTCGGTGGACTTAATTTTAGCTTCGAAGTCCCTAGAGCAGTGTGGTGCTGATTAAGCCTGCATCAACCCAAAGGTTGAAAGACAGAAAAATTCCAGAGTAGATTTAGGAGAGTAGGGCTTTTCTAAACACCCCATAATTGTTTCTTTTCTACTTTGGGGTGTGTGTGTGTGACATGATAGCAGTCTATCAATATTTGTGGGGCTGTCACAGAGAGAAGAGGGTTGACCTGTTATCAAAGCACCTGAGGGTAGGACAAGAAGCAATGGATGGAAACTAATTAAGAAGAGAAGCAACCTAGAACTAAGGAGAAATTTCCTGACAGTGAGAACAACAAAGATGATTAGGGGACTGGAGGCTAAAACATATAAGGAATGGTTGCTGGAATTGGGTATGTCTAGTTTAACGAAGAGAAGGACAAAGGGGGACATGATAGCAGTATTCCAATATTCCAATATCTCAGGGGCTGCCACAAAGAAGAGGGAATCAAGCTATTTTCCAAAGCGCCTGAAGGCAGGACAAGAAGCAACCTAGAACTAAGGAGAAACTTCCTGACAGTGAGAACAATTAATCAGTGGAACAACCTGCCTCCAGAAGCAGTAAATGCTCCAACACTGGAAGTTTTTAATAAGAAACTGAAAAGCCATTTGTCCGAAATGGTATAGGGTTTCCTGCCTGAGCAGGGGGTTGGAGTAGATGACCTCCAAGGTCCCTTCCAACTTTACTATTATTATTGTTATCGATCATCGCACAGTCAGCCAGATGCTCATACTGGACCTAGCACTCTGTCCATCCATCGAGTCCTTATCCAGGACCCGGGATAGGCAGATGTGGATGTCTGATGGTACTACAGATATCGTCGCAGGATGGAAGCAGTTCCCAGCAAGGCTGCCCTCTGCAACTGGCCAATAGTGAACCTGTCTGTTATTTCTGATTCTGGATGTTGTTCTTTCCAGAACTGGTGCATTCGCTTTAGATATCCTCTTCTTGTTGGAGTTGATCTCTAGTAACAGATCATTATTTCTTTGTTTTAATCACTGTGTATCTGCGACGGGTAAACACCTTTTCTTCCAGTAGTTCTGCAGCTGCTGGCCCTGGTTGCTCAGCCAACAGTCCTGAGTCCTGTAACCCATTTTTCACCAGATATCCAGGAACTCCAATATCTAGCGCGGACCTTGTTAACCCGGGCGACATCCGAGCCAGTATGGCATTCTGAAATTTACGTCTCACCATATTTTTTATGGGAGAGACACTCTTTGTCTGACTCCTCTGATGAGACCTGTCCAGTATGGTTGAACCTCTGGCATAGCTCTCATCTTCCTCAGAGTACACAAACCCCACAACCACGTCAAGGTATTAATCATCGCATCATCATCATCATCATCATCATCATCATCATCATCAGTGGAACGACTAGGCTCCAGAAGTTGTGGGTGCTCCATCACTGGAGGTTTTCAAAAAGAGAGTGGACAGCCATTTGTTCCAAATGGTATAGGATCTCCTGGTTATGCAGGGGGTTGGACTAGAAGACCTCCAAAGTCCCTTCCAACTCTGTTATTCTGTAATATGATTCTTTTTCACCCTTTTGGAGAACACAACCAACAACTAAGAAATGACAATTTCTTGGTCTCCTTTGCAGAGGTTGGGAGACCCCAGAAAATGGCTGGTGTCCAAATGACTAAGTGGCCTTGATACTACACTGCTGATATGAGGACAGCAGATGATGACCAAAATTGTCAGTCAAAAAGCCATCTTGACTCTTCCTGTAGATCGCATCTTTAATGATGGAAAGGGATACAATTACTTGCCTTCTTATGCGATCAAAAAAGGGCTCAGACACAATCATGCTCCAAAGTAGGTCATGTGTTCAAGCAGAACGTGGCCACCAGTGATTTGGCCTGAACATGTGACAACGCTGTGACAATAGATGTTCCCGCTATGACAACTGAGAGAAATTAAAGCCGTTTTACTTTGCTTTTAGCTTGCTTTCTTTGCTCTTTAGGAAAACATATGTAGAAGGGGGGGATGGGGTGAATGCTTGAGCTCAGCTAGCCATAATAATAGCGCAGCTTCATGGGAACTCAAGGACACAGACTGATAATATTTGGCTGGCGTGTTTTAAGTTAATTGGAGAATGTGATTTATGACTGCCTTATGGGAGTGGGAATTGCAACTTGTTACTTTGTATCTGGGTGGGGGAAGCTTAGCTTTGGGTTCAACTATGGAGTGCCGATAATTGGTTTCCTCAATAAAATGTTCTTTAAGAAAGAATCCTTGCCTTGAAGTTCTTCGATGGGTTTCATCTATCGGAACCATGACATGTTATGATTCCTGTATAATAAACAGGAATAAATGCTACTTAGAACATAGAATATCGAATCATAGGGCTGGGAGGCACCTTGGAGGTCTTCTGGTCAAACGCCCTGCTCAAGGTGGGAGGCCCTATACCATCCCAGTGATGGGCACCCACAACTTCTGGAGGTAAGCTGTTCCATTGATTAATTGTTCCCACTGTCAGGAAATTTCTCCTCAATTCTAGGTGGGATCTCTCCTTGACAAGCTTCCACCTGTTGCTTCTTGTCCTGCCCTCTGGTGCTTTGGGGAATAAGTCAATCCCCTGTTCTGTATGATGGCCCTTCAACTACTGGAAGACTATTATTATTATTATTATTATTATTATTATTATTATTATTATTATTATTATTGTTGTTGTTGTTGTTGTTATTGTTATGGATTATCGCACAGTGAGCCAGATGTTCAGGCTGGATTTGGCATTTGTCTACCTATCGAGTCCTTACCAAGGACCTGGGATAGGCAGATGTGGATGTTTGATGGTATTACAGATATTGTCGCAGGATGGAAGCAGTTCCTAGTAAGGCCGCCTTTTGCAATTGACTAATAGCAAATTTGTCAATGCCAATGGTGTTCAAATGGTGCTCCAGATAGACACACACACACACACACACAGAGAGAGAGAGAGAGAGAGAGAGAGAGAGAGATAAAAGATAGAGATGATAGATATAATGGTGGGATTCAGCCAGTTTGCACCACTTCAGCAGAACTAATAGCTATTTTTTTGTTGCCAAGGTCAAGAATGGACTTCCAGAAGCGGCATCCACACAGAGAACCGGTTGTTCACATATTTGAATCCCACCAATGGATAGCTAGCACCCAAGGAGCCTATTACTATTGGTACTACTCTTGCTTGCTTTTGTCACAGTCTTTCTATTTCTATTTGTAGGTCTTTGTATTTTGTTATCTTCTCCAGTTCTTCTTCTTCTTCTTCTTCTTCTTCTTCTTCTTCTTCTTCTTCTTCTTCTTCTTCTTCTTCTTCTTCTTCTTCTTCTTCTTCTTCTTCTTCTTCTTCTTCTTCTTCTTCTTCTTCTTCTTCTTCTTTCTCTCTTCTTCTTCTTCCTATTATTATTATTATATCGATCATCGCACAGTCAGCCAGATGTTCAGACTGGATTTGGCATTTTGTCTACCTATCGAGTCCTTACCCAGGACCTGGGATAGGCAGATGTGGATGTTTGATGGTATTACAGATATCGTCGCAGGATGGAAGCAGTTCCTAATAAGGCCGCCTTTTGCAATTGACTAATAGCGAATTTGTCAATGCCAATGGTGTTCAAGTGGTGCTCCAGTTGTTTTGGGATTGCACCCAAGGAGCCTATGACTATTGGTACTACCCTTGCTTGCTTTTGCCACAGTCTTTCTATTTCTATTTGTAGGTCTTTGTATTTTGTTATCTTCTCCAGTTCTTTCTCTTCTATTCTGCTATCTCCAGGCACTGCCACATCCACTATCCAGACTTTTTTGTCTTTCTTATCGACAATTGTTAAGTCTGGGGTGTTATGTTGCAGGTGCTTGTCTGTTTGAATTCTGAAGTCCCAGAGCAGTTTAATTTTATCATTTTCTATGACTTTCTCTATTTTATGATCCCACCAGTTTTTGCTTACAGGCAAATGATATTTTTTGCAGATCTTCCAATGCACCATTGTTGCTACTTTGTCATGCCGCTGCTTGTAATCAGTTTGTGCAATCTTCTTGCAACAGCTTACCAAGTGGTCCACTGTTTCTTCAGCTTCTTTGCATAGGCGGCACTTACTGTCTGTTGCTGTCTTCTCAATTTTGACTTTGTATGCATTTGTCCTTAAGGCTTGGTCTTGTGCAGCCAGAATTAGTCCCTCGGTCTCTTTCTTCAATTTTCCTGCTCTTAGCCATTGCCAGGTTTTATTATTATCTGCTTTCCCAGCTATTTTTTTCATGTATTGGCCATGTAGTGCTTTGTCTTCCCATGCCTCTATTCTGTTCTTCATTTGGTCTTTCTTGTAGGCCAGTTTGGTCTCTCCAGTAGTTAGTAAGCCTTCCTGATATACTAATTTCAGTGCATCTTCATCATTGTTCTTCAGATATTCTTCCAAAGCCATTTTTTCTTCTTCAACCATCTGATGTACTTGTAGCATTCCACGCCCACCTATTTGCCTTGGTAGATAAAGTCTATCAATGTCACTGCGTGGATGAAGGGCATGATTCATTGTCATTATTTTTCTGGTCTGCCTATCCATTGCTTTTAGTTCTGCTTGAGTCCAGTCCACTATTCCAGCTGTGTACCTAATGACTGGGATTGCCCAGGTGTTGATTGCCTTTATGGTATTTCCTCCATTGAGTTTGGATTTTAAGATCTTCTTCACTTTCTTGATGTATTCACCTCTAATTTTTTTCTTGACTTCAGTGTGCTTGATGTTGTCAGCTTGAAGGATACCCAAGTATTTGTAGTACTCTTCCTCATCCAGACTCTTAATGTTATTTTCGTGGGGCATCTTGATTCCTTCAGTTTTCACTATTTTTCCTTGTTTGATAGTAAGTGTGGCACATTTGTCCAAGCCAAACTCCATTACAATATCTTGGCTATATATACGGACAGTGTTGAGCAGCGATTCTATTTCAGATGATGTTTTTCCATACAGCTTCAGATCATCCATATAAAGGAGGTGGGATAGTCTGGCAGATGTTTTTGATGTTTGATAGCCATGTCCTGAGTTATTCAGTATTGTTGACAGAGGAAACAGTGCAATAACAAATAGTAATGGTGATAATGAATCTCCTTGAAATATTCCTCTCTTGATATTAACCTCTCCCAGCCTCTCACCATTGATCTGCAACTGTGTCTTCCATTGTGCCATCGATCTTTGCACAAATTTTCTGATGTTTCTACTGACTCCTGTTATTTCTAGGCACTTTATTATCCAATCATGTGGCAGAGAGTCAAATGCCTTTTTGTAGTCAATCCATGCCACATTCAGGTTGGTCTTCCTTCTCTTGCAGTTTTCCAAGATCATTTTATTATTATTATTTTATTATTATATTATTATTATTATTATTATTATTATTATTATCATCTATGGAGAAACTTCCTGACAGTTAGAACAATTAACCAGTGGAACAACCTGCCTCCAGAAGCGGTGAATGCTCCAACACTGGAAGTTTTTAAGAAGAGACTGGACAGCCATTTGTCCGAAATGTATAGGGTTTCCTGCCTGAGCAGGGGGTTGGACTAGATGACCTCCAAGGTCCCTTCCAACTTTATCATTATTATTATTATTATTATTATTATTATTATTATTATTCTGTTATTCTATGATATTCTGCTGATTTCTCTTATGTTCTTTTTCAGAATGAAGTGTTTCAGGATCTCTCTATGGTCCACCTACTTATTTATCTAGTTCCCACAAAAATCCCTTCATCTGAAGACCAAGATTTCAGCTTTCAACCACAAGGATCCAAGCCAGCTTGTGGAAGGACGAGAAGAAAAAAAGAGAGACAGAGACAGAGAGAGACAGAAAGACATCTGATAACATCAGCCTGCCCTGTTTGATGGAAATGTCTCACAATATGGTGGGAGAAAATGGCTTCCACTGCACCCACAAACTTATTTTTTCCAACACACTCAATTCTGTGGAGAACAGCCCTCCTTTTGACAGCCCCAGTCCCGAGGAATCCTGCACCACCCCTTTGAGCAATGGGACGTTCTACTCCAACACAAACAGTCCTTCAGATTCCTGCATGAAGCCTCTCTGTGAGGCGAGATCCCCAAACGAAAACGGGTTCAATGGCAGCATTAAATACGTCTCCACTGAACGGGAGGTCCTGGTGTGTGGATGGGGAGGCTTCACCCCGAGTTGTTTACAGTTTTTCAACACCCCAAAAGGGGTTCTGTTCTTCCTGTGCGTGGCTTCCTTCTTGCAAGGCATGACTGTCAACGGCTTTATCAACACCGTCATTACGTCGATCGAACGGCGCTTTGATCTTCAGAGCTACCAAAGCGGTTTGATTGCCAGCTCCTATGACATCGCGGCCTGCGTGTGTTTAACGTTTGTCAGTTACTTTGGGGGCAATGGGCATAAACCACGGTGGCTGGGCTGGGGAGTTTTGATCATGGGGATTGGCTCCCTCATTTTTGCCTTGCCTCATTTCACCACCAGCCAATACGAAGTCCATTTTTCAGAGGAGATTGGCACGTGTTCCTCCAATCAAACTGCGTGGTGTGCAGAAAGTGTCTCCACACTGTCCAATTATCAGTTTGTCTTCATGCTCGGTCAGTTTCTACATGGGATTGGAGCAACGCCACTTTATACCCTTGGGGTGACCTATCTGGATGAAAATGTCAAGTCCAACTATTCCCCTGTGTATATTGGTAAGCCTTGTGGTTCACAGAATGATGGAATGGGCAGGATGATGTCACCGAATGATATCTATCTATCTATCTATTTGAATCCCACCACTGGATAGCTATCCAGTGGTGGGATTCAAATATGTGAACAACCGGTTCTCTGTATGGATGCTGCTTCCGGAAGTCCATTCTGGGCCTTGGCAACAAAAAAATAGCTATCGGTTCTGCTGAAGTGGTGCAAACTGGCTGAATCCCACCACTGTATCTATCATCTCTATCTTTTATCTCTCTCTCTCTCTCTCCCTCTCTCTCTCCCTCTCTCTCTCTCCCTTTCTCTCTCTCTCTCTCTCTGTCTGTATCTATCTATCTATCTAGCTAGCTAGCTAGCTATCCATTGGTGGGATTCAAATATGTGAACAACCAGTTCTCTGTGTGGATGCCGCTTCCGGAAGTCCATTCTGGACCTTGGTAACAAAAAAATAGCTATCAGTTCTGCTGAAGTGGTGCAAACTGGCTGAATCCCACCATTATATCTATCATCTCTATCTTTTATCTCTATCTCTCTCTCTGTGTCTGTGTCTGTCTGTCTGTCTGTCTGTCTATCTATCTATCTATCTATCTCTATCCAGTGGTGGGATTCAAATATGTGAACAACCAGTTCTCTGTGTGGATGCCGCTTCCTGAAGTCCATCTGGGCCTGGGCAACAAAAAATTAGAATTCCTGCTGGTTAATCAGGGAATGCAGTCCTCACTGAACAAGAGAAGAAACCTTGGTAGAGGTTCTCCAGTTGAAGGCCACCTATTGGGAACGAATCCTCTGGGTCATGTAGTCCTTTATATTGTCCAGGAGGTTGGATCAGAGCAAGGGTCTCCAAACCTGGCAACTTTAAGACTTGTGGACTTCACCTCCCAGAAATCCCTAGTCAGCCATGATGGCTGGAGAATCCTGGGAGTTGGTCCACAAGTCTTAAAGTTGCCAAGTTTGGAGATCCCTGGATCCCTTTCAACTTAATAAAACTGAACGAAACTTGGAGAAAGTTATGGGTTCCTGCAGTGGCCTTCTTTGCCCAAATCTGAGCCTGAGCCAAGACCAAAATCTTCCGTGTTGAACTTTGGCCAACAGCGTTGTGTCTTTCTCTTTTCAGCTGTTTTCTACACTGCTGCCATATTGGGCCCAGCTGCTGGCTACTTGATTGGAGGCATCTTTCTCAATATTTACACTGAAGTTGGGAGACAGTAAGTTCCTGGCCCCCTTTCTCTTTCCTTCCATCAACCCTGAAACCTTCTGCCCCTTTCTTGATATGCTTCTGTCAGGTAGAATCAAAGCCAGTATCCACAGGGGATGTAGCTTCAATAAATGTCAGCATTTTCGGAGGAGTATTTCTAGTAAGATCTTCCAGTGTAAATCTGGATGTCCAGATGCTATGTAGGTTCAGGCATCTAGGACAGTGTTTCTCAACATTAACAGCTTCAAGATGAGTGGACTTCAACTCCCAGAATTCTGTAACCAGGCTGAAGCATTCTGGGAGTTGAAATCCACAAGTCATAAAAGGGCCAAGTTTGAAGACCCCTGGTCTACATACTTTATATGGAGATAGTTTTCTTTTTTCGATTATCCTTAGAACGGTGATTATCATGACATTTATTTTTGTCTCAGGTTGTCAAATGCAGTCTGAACAAACCAGAAAAATCTCAGGCTGGGCAGGAAAAGCTGAGAACCTTGTCTATTTTGTGTCTGTGTGTGTGCGCGCGTGCATACGCTCTCTGTTGTTGTTATTGTCATTTCCCTTTAGCCCTGCCTAAAGCAAAGAACAATGACTTCGATTTATTGCCCAGTTTGTAATCATTGCAAAAACATGTCCCGCTTGAAAAATTTCTCCCAAGCAACTAGGGAATTAATATATCTTTGAAGAAAGAAACAGCTACATCTCATGCTTGTGTGAATTAGCTTTGCTTCCGTGATCTGCCACAGCCAGAGAGGGACATTGGATTGGATTTCTGAAAATCTACAGCTTTTCTCCTGGTTTTATTCCCAGAATTGATCTTACACCCGATAATTCCCTGTGGGTTGGAGCATGGTGGATTGGATTCTTGGGCGCTGGGGCTGGTTCCCTCTTGATTTCAGTACCCATTTTGGGGTACCCTCATCGCCTCCCAGGTACGTGAACTGAATCTCAACCAGATTCCTTTAGCAGAGCTCCTTTTCAGGATGTTGGGAGCCTGCCAAAATAGCCCACTTCTCTTCTCTCAAGGATACAAGGCGCTATAATATTTTCCCATTGTTTGTTTGTTTTTTAATCGCAGTATTATGAACCTTGATGCATTAGATTATTCAGTGTGGATTTCAAGGCAATAATATTTATCTACCGGTAGTCTTCGACTTACGATCACAAGTAAAAATTCTGTTACTAAGCGAGACCGTTGTTAAATGAGTTTTGCCCCATGTTATGACCTTTCTTGCCACGGTCGCTAAGTGAAACATGGGTTGTAAAGGGAATCCAGCTTCCCCACTGGCTTTGCTTGTCAAAAGGTCACAAAAGGGGATCACGTGACTCTGGGACATGGCAACTATTCATTCATTCATTCATTCATTTGTATCCTGCCTTTATTATTTTCACAAATAACTCAAGACAGCGAACACACAATATTCCTTCCTTCCCATCCTTCCCTTCCATCCCTTCCTCCCTCCCTCCCTCCCTCCCTCCCTCCCCCCCTCCCTCCTTCTTCCCTCCCTCCCTCCTTCTCTCCCTCCCTCTCTCCCTCCTTCCTTCCTTCCTTCCTTCCTTCTTTCCTTCCTTCTTCCCTAACAGGTTGTTGTTATGGGGAAAATAAGAGAAGGAAGGAGCATTGTGTGTGTTTGCCATCTTGAATTATTTATAATGATGATGATGATGATAATAATAACAGTAACAATAACAATAACAATAATAATAATAAAAAGTTGGAAGGGACCTTGGAGGTCATCTAGTCCAACCCCCTGCTCAGGCAGGTAACACTATATCATTTCGGACAAATGGCTATCCAGTCTCTTCTTAAAAACGTCCAGTGTTGGAGCATTCACCGCTTCTGGAGGCAGGTTGTTCCACTGGTAAATATAATAATAATAAAGGCAGAATATAAATAAATAGTAAGGATGTCTTGAATTCATCAGAGAAGTCTTGCACCCCACTGTAGACAGATGTATTTTTTAAAAAATATTTACTTTAAAAGAAAAGGGAAAAGGGGTAAAAAAAAGATTGCAAAAATACAGTTATTGCATGGAAAAAATTGCAGAGTGTAATTATAGATTAAAAAAAAGAAAAGAAAATGCAACGGGTTCCATTGACAAAGCATCTTTATCTTTCTGTATCCACTTGGAGAGAAGCTAATTCAGTAGAAATAAAGTTTCCCAACAATTTTATATTTGAATTCTTTCAGAAGGATTACTTTTAAATGATTAAAGTCAAAGCCTAGCTAAGAAATAGAAGCAATAGAAATAAGCAATCTTTGTTAAAGAGTTGACAACCTTATTTTAACAGAAGGCAGAGCAGGAACCTCAGAACGTTGGTTGCCGATGAGAGCATCGATATGTTCAGGTGAACCAAATGACAGGCACAAATCAATGGTCTTATCGTAACATCTGATTTCACAGGATCTCAGCGCTACACAGTCATGCGAGTTTCGGAAACCCATCAATCAAAAGATGGCAGCCATAAAACAGCCTCAGATCCTGATTTCGGAAAGACGGTGAAAGACCTGCCACAGTAAGAACTTCCCTTTTATAATAATTCATAAAAATTTGTATTGAATATGACTTTGGGGTATGGGGAAAAATACTCCAGCACTGTCTTTGTTCCTTTAACCAAATGTATTCATAACAATACATTTATACTGTATTCAGATACTGTATTCAGACAATACATAGAGACGGTTTGGCATAGTGTTAAGGTTTTGGCCTAGAAACCAGGAGCCTGTGAGTTCCAGCCCTGCCTTAGGCACAAAAGTGCTTAGGCACAAAAGCTGGCTGGGTGACTTTGGCCAATCACCAAGAGATTCTGAGTTCCAGTCCCGCTTTAGGCATAAATGTCAGCTGCGTAACCTTGGGCCAAACATCAAAGGACTGTGAGTTTTAGACCTACCTAAAGCATAAAAGCTGAATGGGTGACTTTGGGTCAATCACCAGGAGAGTGTGAGCAGGACTAGAATTCACACTCTCCTAGTGATGGACCCAAAATCAGCTGGATGATTTTAAAGGAAAGTCAGCTGGATGACTTTAGATCAGTGGTTCTCAACCTGTGGGTCGGGACCCCATTTGGGGTCGAACGACCATTTCACGGGGGTCGCCAAACAAGGCTGTCCGCCATTTTTTTCCCCTTTTCTTTGGACACAGCCCTGGCAACCGGTGATGTATAAGTGATTGGGGGTCACCACAACATGGGGAACTGTATTATGGGGTCGCAGCATTAGAAAGGTTGAGAACCACTGCTTTAGATCAATCACTCTCTCTCAGCACAATGCAGTCTCAGTTGTTATTGTGGGGAAAATAGGAGGAGAAAGGACATTACCGTAAATGCCGGCGTATAAGACGACTTCCACGAGCGCTGAAATCGGCGCCAAAGACGGGGGTCGTCTTATACGCCGAGTCGTCTTATACGCCGGAAATACTGGTAGTTTCCGGCGTATAAGACGACGTTCTAGGAATGCGGCCCGGCTATAAAGACGGGGGTTGTCTTATACGCCAGGTCGCCTTGTACGCCGGCATTTACGGTATGTATGTTCACTGCCTTGTTCATAAAAATAATAAAAATGGCCTAGAAATCTAACAAATAAATAAATACAGGAAATCCAGGCTAGCAAAATACAACTATTACGGTACAGTATGTTATAACATATTATGTCCTCCAGAATAAATCATAGAGTTTATGGTAATAACTTGTTTTCTAGGTATTATAACTCTTGCTGGACTCTAAAATGCTTAATCAGTTTACTTACAAACCAGGAATAGCAGGAACACAACATGCTACGCAACCAAGAGTGGCACAGTGGTCAGAATGCAGTATTGCAGGCTGACTCTGCTGACTGCCAGCAGTTCGATCCTGACCATCCTTCCAAGGTTGATAAAATGAGGACCCCAGATTGTTGGGGGCAAGATGCTGACTCTGTAAATCACTTCAAGAGAGCTGTAAAGCACTGTGAAGTGGTACATAAGTCTTAAGTGCTATTGCTATGCTAACACTGATTAGTTTTAATTATGAACAATTATATAGTAGCTTATTGATAAGTAAATTCAACTGGTTGGTATGATTCGGTCTCTTGTAGAAATCCCCAAAATAGGGTGACAAGTTTATTTATTTATTCATTTATTGAACTTCTACGGTTGTACAAGCATAGCCAGTGGCTGGATTCCTTCAAAATGCTAACTCATGATGTCTCTTTAGTCTGGTCTAATTTGTTGTTTTATTATTCCCTTGATGAGTCTGCTACAAACCGAAGACAGCATTGGTTTGTCTTCTGAAGAAGATCCAAACAAATGCACCCTTTCATTTCGGATGCCTTTGTGCTGCCTTCAAAACAGACTGAAGTAATTCAGTGCTGTGTCTTCATTGTACACATCTTGTTAGCTGCCGCTCCTAAAGACAGAGAATAAAGAATATGTTTGGCAAAACAGGACACACCAGAAATCTGAATTGAGCTAAACTCAGAAGCATAGATTTTAGAGGAGGAACAGTCCTGTGTTTCCCTGAAAATAAGACTCGGTACTATTATTATTATTATCGATCATCGCACAGTCAGCCAGATGTTCAGACTGGATTTGGCATTTTGTCTACCTATCGAGTCCTTACCCAGGACCTGGGATAGGCAGATGTGGATGTTTGATGGTATTACAGATATCGTCGCAGGATGGAAGCAGTTCCCAATAAGGCCGCCTTTTGCAATTGACTAATAGCGAATTTGTCAATGCCAATGATGTTCAAGTGGTGCTCCAGTTGTTTTGGGATTGTACCCAAGGAGCCTATGACTATTGGTACTACCCTTGCTTGCTTTTGCCACAGTCTTTCTATTTCTATTTGTAGGTCTTTGTATTTTGTTATCTTCTCCAGTTCTTTCTCGTCTATTCTGCTATCTCCAGGCACTGCCACGTCCACTATCCAGACTTTTTTGTCTTCCTTATCGACAATTGTTAAGTCTGGGGTGTTATGTTGCAGGTGCTTGTCTGTTTGAATTCTGAAGTCCCAGAGCAGTTTAATTTTATCATTTTCTATTACTTTCTCTATTTTATGATCCCACCAGTTTTTGCTTACTATTATTATTATTATTATTATTATTATTATTATTATTATTATTATTATTATTATTATTATTATGGATCATCGCACAGTCAGCCAGATGTTCAGACTGGATTTGGCATTTTGTCTACCTATCGAGTCCTTACCCAGGACCTGGGATAGGCAGATGTGGATGTTTGATGGTATTACAGGTATCGTCGCAGGCTGGAAGCAGTTCCTAATAAGGCCGCCTTTTGCAATTGACTAATAGCAAATTTGTCAATTCCAATGGTGTTCAAGTGGTGCTCCAGTTGTTTTGGGATTGCGCCCAAGGAGCCTATGACTATTGGTACTACCCTTGCTTGCTTTTGCCACAGTCTTTCTATTTCTATTTGTAGGTCTTTGTATTTTGTTATCTTTTCCAGTTCTTTCTCTTCTATTCTGCTATCTCCAGGCACTGCCACCTCCACTATCCAGACTTTTTTGTCTTTCTTATCGACAATTGTTAAGTCTGGGGTGTTATTATTATTATTATTATTATTATTATTATTATTATTATTATTATTATGGATCATCGCACAGTCAGCCAGATGTTCAGACTGGATTTGGCATTTTGTCTACCTATCGAGTCCTTACCCAGGACCTTGGATAGGCAGATGTGGATGTTTGATGGTATTACAGATATCGTCGCAGGATGGAAGCAGTTCCTAGTAAGGCCGCCTTTTGCAATTGACTAATAGCGAATTTGTCAATGCCAATGGTGTTCAAGTGGTGCTCCGGTTGTTTTGGGATTGCACCTAAGGAGCCTATTACTATTGGTACTACCCTTGCTTGCTTTTGCCACAGTCTTTCTATTTCTATTTGTAGGTCTTTGTATTTTGTTATCTTCTCCAGTTCTTTCTCGTCTATTCTGCTGTCTCCAGCCACTGCCACGTCCACTATCCAGACTTTTTTGTCTTTCTTATCGACAATTGTTAAGTCTGGGGTGTTATGTTGCAAGTGCTTGTCTGTTTGAATTCTGAAGTCCCAGAGCAGTTTAATTTTATCATTTTCTATGACTTTCTCTATTTTATGATCCCACTAGTTTTTGCTTACAGGCAAATGATATTTTTTGCACATCTTCATTATTATTATTATTATTATTATTATTATTATTATTATTATTATTATTATTATTATTATTATGGATCATCGCACAGTCAGCCAGATGTTCAGACTGGATTTGGCATTTTGTCTACCTATCAAGTCCTTAGCACATTATTATTATTATTATTATTATTGTTGTTGTTGTTGTTGTTGTTGTTGTTGTTGTTGTTATTTTGTCTCCAAAAGAGGCATCAAGTCTTATTTTGGGGGGGTGGGTGTCTTTTCTACTTACCCCCACACCAACAGACCTTCCCCAGCCTGCCTACTTCTTCTGCAGTTGAAGGAGCAGCTTCATTCTGCAGCTGAGAATGGAGCTCCAGCCTGCATTTCACCATCAGAGGCCTTTCTGGAAGGCCAGTGCAGCCGATAACCGAGCAAGGGATTTGCGCAGAAGAAGTGGGCCGGCAAGGAGAGGCCTGGCTGCCAGGTAAATGGGTGCAGGGCGCATGGGGCAGCTCCACACACACCACCCCTGCCCTAGCTTATTTTTAGGCGTGTGCCTCGCCCCTAAACTAAGGCTTATTTTGGGGGTAGGGCTTATTTTCTGGGAAATACAGTAATTTGGTTAATCCTTCAGTTAACCTGTTTGAAATTGTGAAGTTCAATCTATTGTAAACCCATCTTTGCAAAGAAAATTGTATTTCTCTGAGGTCTCTTGATAAAAGCAAGTATACAGCACCCATTGTTAATCTAAGAACTGCTAACACTAAAAAATACATGGAACCTATATCTGAATTGTTTGACCCTCTGCCACTTTTCAAGGCCATGACACAGCTATTCTGCATAAGAAAATTAAATTCAAAAATAACATTTAAAAGCCAGGCAGAGTGTGACCAACAACTCAATGAACAAAGATGAACTAAAAGCCGAAATTTAAACTATGTTGTGAGGTTAACCTCTTTTTCCTCCAAATATTAATCCAAGGTTTATTGAATGAAAGGATGAAACCGAGATCTTTGCATTAAGAAACCATCTGAGAAACTCTGCAAAATCATCTAAATTATTTCCTTATTCCAATACCAGATACACCGTTGGGTTTATACATCATTCTTAACCTTAAACTTAACTACCGTATATTCCGGCGTATAGGGCGACTCGGCGTATAAGACGACCCCCGAGTTCGACGCCGGGTCGCAAGACGATCACGCCAAATCGCAAGATGATCGATGCCGAGTCGCATATAAGACGACTTTCTAGGCATGCGACTTGGCATCGATTGTCTTATACGCCGGAAATAACGTTATTTCCAGCGTATAAGACGACTTTCTAGGCATGCGACTCGGCGTCGATCATCTTATACGCCGGAAATAACATTATTTCCGGCGCATAAGATGATCGATGCCGAGTCGCATGCCTAGAAAGTCGTCTTATACGCCGGAAATAACGTTATTTCCGGCGTATAAGACGACTTTCTAGGCATGCGACTTGGCATCGATTGTCTTATACGCCGGAAATAACGTTATTTCCGGTGCATAAGATGATAGACGCCGAGTCGCATGCCTAGAAAGTCGTCTTATACGCCAGAAACTCCCTTATTTCCGGCGTATAAGACAACTCGGCGTATAAGACAACCCCCGAGTTCGGAGGCTGTTTCATCGCTCTCAAAAGTCGTCTTATACGCCGGAATATACGGTATATACAGTTGTATTCTTTAACATGCTGTGCCTAAACAAATATATGTCATTCTGATTTAACATGGCTTGGTCCACACAAGATGTTAAGATAGTGGCTTGTTTCCCACAATATAAAAGTCATAAAATAAGTTTAATCTAGCTTGGCATTTCCTACTAATAGTTAAAATTCTAGCACTGATATTGTTACCTACTTTGGGTAATGAAAGATCTGCAAGAAAGAAATTAAAAACAAGCTCAGAGAGTTCCAAAAAAACCCTTGGTTAAAACTCTCACTTTCCCAATACCCTTGACTATTCAAATAGACAGAACTACTTTGTGACATACATTGTCTGGTTAATTTTCTTCTCTTTCTAATTTCCAGGCAGGGAACAGAAAAAACCTTAAGTAAAGCAGAAGAAAGTACCATAAATTGCATTTTAGATTAGGGTTTTTTTTTCCCCACCAGATTTAACTGCCTAGAAATATAGACATCTTACCAGCTGGTGTGTTCCTAGGTCTTTCTCACTTCTGGGAAAGCGCTTGTGTGAGAAAATATTGTTGAACAGCTATTACAGCATATCACAAGGGAGTTGGTGTACAATTATTGTCTCTAATAGGTTTTGTTTAGGAAGCAATTTTCCGTAAAAGACATTTCTCTGTTCCTAGAACTATTTCCCCCCCTTAACACTTCAATAATAAAGACGATTGATTGATTGATTGATTTGATTTGATTTATGTGCTGCCCACCTCATCCAGAGATGACTCTGGGGTTTTGGAGGAGTATTTTTCTTGGATTTAGGGATTTTTCTTGGAGCTAGGGATTTTTTGATGGAGGAGGAATACACTCTCGTAAAAAAGAGGTAGACTTGCACAAGCTAAAATACACCCATTATTAGACTGGATGTTTACCTGGGACTTTTCTGTAGTTAGGAGAAAACACTGCAACTGGAACCATTTTCTAGAAGAAGAATTCCCAGATGTAAGATCTGCTGGAATTTCTTTTGCCCCCTCCCCTCTTTCAGAATTCCTTCCTTCCTCCGATCAGTGTTTTCCAATCTGGCAATCAAAGATACTTTGGGACTTCAATTTGAGGATTCTCAATTAAAGTTTGGTAACTCTAGTTTTGTAATTCTGACTTTCTGGGAAAGTTGTGAAAACCTGTCCTTGGTTGCCTGGATTCTTTTCATTTTTTTGTTCTAATATTCTTCTAGGACAGGGATGTCCAACCTTAGCAACTTTAAGATTTGTGGACTTCAACTCCCAGAATTCCTCAGCCAGCCATGCTGGCTGGGGAATTCTGGGAGTTGAAGTCCTCAGGTCTTCAAGTTGCCAAAGTTGGACATCCTTGTTCTAACTATTGATGTCTAACTAACCACAATGGAGAGAGAGAGAGACTTTTAAAAGATAACAACTATTTTTCTTTAATTATAAGAAATTAGGTGAACATGCCACGAGGGATATGGATTATAATCCTCAGGAAAACCTTGCAAAAAAAAAAGCAACTAAAATAAATGGGAATCGCCTTATTAATGCTTAAGTATCTGTGTGGAATGTAGGATCTACACTAAATAATTTGTTCCCTGCTGTTGTTTCGGATCCTAAAGGTCATTTTGGCTGCTACTGAAGAACCCAACTTTCATCTTCCTTTGCTTAGCTGGAGCTACAGAAGCTACCTTGATTGCCGGGATGTCAACATTTGGCCCCAAATTCCTCGAATCCCAATTTAGCTTAAGTGCCTCTGAAGCAGCAACTTTTTTTGGTAAGAAAAAAGCTGTGGAATGAAACTTTTAGGTTAGGGGTCTCCAAACTTGGCCCTTATATGACTTGTGGACTTCAACTCCCAGAATTCCCCAGCCAGCCATGCTGGCTGAGGAATTCTGGGAGTTGAAGTCCACAAGTCATAAAAGGGCCAAGTTTGAAGATCTCTACTTTAGGTGGTTTAATGCCCATTAGCTGAGCTCAGCTGGCTTCATATCCATATACAGATAGTCCTTGACTTACGACCACCATTGAGCTCAAAATTTATGTCGTTGAGTGAGACGTTTGTTAAGTTACTTTTGCCCCATTTTACAACCTTCTTTGCCTCAGTTGTTAAGTGAATCACTGCAGTTGATAAGTTAGTAATCTGATTGTTAGGTGAATCTGGTTTCCCCCGTTGACTTCTCTTGTAAGAAGGTCGCAAAAGAGGATCACGGCAACCGCCATTAAGTACATGCTAGTTGCCAAGTGTCTGAATTTTGATCACGTGACCATGGGAAAACTGCAACAGTCGTTAAGTGTGAAAAATGGAAGGATTTATACTCCTGCAGACAGCAGTTCATTTGCATTCTTTTAGTGAGTAGTTAAAGCTACCTGGAGGCTTATCTGTGTCTTTCATGCCATTCTTTAAAAGAAGACAAATGAACAGCTGTCTGCAAGGAGTATAAATCCTTCCATTCCCCACCATCCAGTCAGAGCTGAAGAAGCTTCTTGGATGAAAAAAAGAAAAAAACAAGAAAAAACAAGAAAGTCCAATTGCCTCGTGAAAAAGCACCTTTGGGACATTAGAGAGGGAAACCATCAGAAAACTTCAAGGCTGTAGGCTAGATTTAAAAAATAGGAGGGGGGGGGATATCCCAGAAGAAAACAATGTCACATTGTTTTCTTTGTTGTTGTTAGTTGCGAAGTTCTGTCCAACCCATTGCGACCCCATGGACAACGTTCCTCGAGGCCTTCCTGTCCTCTACCATCTTCTGGAGTCCATTGGAGCTCACGCCTACTGCTTCAGTGACTCCATCCAGCCACCTCCTTCTCTGTTGTCCCTTTCTTCTTCTGTTGCCCTCCATCTTTCCCAGCATTAGACTCTTCTCCAGTGAGTCCTTCCTTCTCCTTAGGTGGCCAAAGTCCTTGAGTTTCAACTTCAGGATCTGGCCTTCTAAAGAGCAGTCAGGGCTGATCTCCTCTAGGACTGACCGGTTTGATCGCCTTGCAGTCCAGGGGACTCGCAGGAGTCTTCTCCATCACCATAGTTCAAAGGCCTCCATTCTTTGGCGCTCAGCCTTTCTTATGGCCCAACTTTCACAGCCGTACATTGCAGCTGGGAAAACCATGGCCTGGACTATACGCACTTTTGTGCCTAAAAGATCCTGCATGGATATGTCACACAAAGTTAACAAGCACCCATGGGAGAGAATACTTGTAACTCAGGGTTGAACAGTGGAGTCCTCGGTGCTTTCTAAGCTTGGTTGTTTTCTTGAAGAGTTTCATAACCAAATTAGGTAACACCGTCAGCTCACTGATGATGTTACTTAGTTTGGTAATGAAACCTCTGCAAGGAAAGCCACCAAGCTTAGGGAGCTCCAAGGACCTCACAGTTAATAAGTAATTGAGCACAAGTCAAAGCAGACTTCAATTTTCGGACAAAAGAAAAAAAAACCCATATAGACTTTCCTGCAATTCTTAACCATCTCTGCATTTTGATTGGGATCCTAATGAATGCCAGGTTAATACGATGGGTTGAGGGTCCAACTATAGCAGAAGAGGTAGGGCAGTGTAGTGGTTAGGGCTTTGGACTCAGTGGGTGATCCAGGTTAAAGGCCCCATTTAAGCATTTAACTCTGAGTCGCGCTATCTTTCAGCCCAACTATCTCAAAATTTGGATCATGGAAATAATACTATTATTATTTCTTAAAAAATTTTTATGGGCCGCCCATCTTACCGCAGGCTGACATTGGGCGGCTTACAATATTAAATGTTAGAGGAGATTCTAATACTGAAAAGGCAGCTCGTCAACGACACTGAATGTGATTTAAATAATAAACAAGTCGATTTGAAAATGACACAGCTGTTTCCTCTCCTTTGGAAGGCTACCTTGTGGTTCCGGCAGGAGGTGGCGGCACTTTCCTTGGAGGGTTCCTTGTGAACAAATTTAAGCTGCGCTGCTCAGGGATCATCAAGTTTTGTTTCTTGTGCACCATGTCGAGTCTGCTGGCAATTTTTATCTTTTTTACTGATTGTCCCAACATGCCCATGGCTGGAGTGACCCAGATGCATGACGGAAGGTAAGCAGTGGAAGAACAATCCCCTTGCAAAGGAGAGTATTCCAGATTAAAGCTACAAAAGAATAACATCACATTAAAAATCTCTGTCTGTCTGTCTGTCTGTCTGTCTGTCTGTCTGTTTATCTATCTATCTATCTATCTATCTATCTATCTATCTATCTATCTATCTATCTATCAGTTTCTGTCTATCTGTCTGTCTGTCTGTCTGTCTATCTATCTATCTATCTATCTATCTATCTATCTATCAGTGTCTGTCTATCTGTCTATCTATCTATCTATCTATCTATCTATCTATCTATCTATCTATCTATCTATCTATCTACCAGTGTCTGTCTATCTATCTATCTATCTATCTATCTATCTATCTATCTATCTATCTATCTATCTATCTATCTATCTATATACCTACCTACCAGTGTCTGTCTGTCTGTCTGTCTGTCTGTCTGTCTGTCTGTCTGTCTGTCTATCTATCTATCTATCTATCTATCTATCTATCTATCTATCTATCTATCTATCATTTATCACAGTGATGGCGAACCTTTTAGAGACCAAGTGCCCAAACTTCAACCCAAAACCCACTTATGTATTGCCGGGTGCTGGGTGGGTATGGCCCGCTGGGTGGGTGTGGCCCGCTGGGTGGGCGTGGCTATAGTGGTCATGGCAGATGCGTGGGCGTGGCCAGGGTGGGCATGGCCAGCTTGATGTTGCTCCTGGGGAGGGAAGCCTGTGGAGCCAGGCAGGGTTGGGGGAGATCCAGGGGTCTCTGGCAGGAGGCTGGTTCTGCAGGGTGAGGCGGGGGAGGGCGGGGGTGCCATGTCACAGGGCAAGGCGAGGCAGGGGCCGGGGCAGCTGCTGCCTGACACCATCGGCCCCCGCATACAAAGGCCAGCAAGTGCATGCGTTCTGGGATGCATCCGGCCACATGGGACCTCAGCAAGTTAGCGGGCGGCTGGTTGAAGAGGACAGTTGCCATCTCCATGGGATGGTGCACGTGCCCACAGAGAGGGCTCCAAGTGCGCTTCTGGCACACGTGTCATAGGTTTGCCACCACTGATCTATCACTTGCCCTATCTACTAAAATTATATCCATCTAACTGTGTTATCTGTATATGTCTGTCCATCCATCCACAGTATCAATTCATTGATTCATCCAGCCAGCCACAGTATCCATCCATCTACCCACACCTGCCCTATCTAGAGTATTTATGTCCATCTATCTATGTTATCTGTCTGTCTCTGTCTATCTATCTGTCATCTATCTTTCTATCATCTGCCCTATCTACTGTGACTGTATCCAACTAGCTATGTTGGATATAGATATTACCTATATCTATCTGTCCATCCATCCGTCTATCCATCCGTCCATCCATCCATTCATCCATCCATCCTATCCACAATATCTATGTCCATCTATTTATGTTGTCTATCTATCTATCTATCTAGCCAACTATCTAACTAGCTATCCTTTGTCATCTACTGCATACAGCAAATCTATCCATCAAATACCCCATATCATTCACTTTATCTACCTTTCCATTTATCCATCCATCCATCTCCTATTCTATGGAAGAATGGCAGCCAGGGAAGATCAACTGAGTAGCAGACATTCAATTTTTAATAATTAATCCACAAATACTATAGTATTTGGATTTTCTTTACAGTCTTCCAGAGACATTACTACCCCTGAACCACTGTTGGAACAGTATACAGACACTGCCTGATACTCAATTCTGATCACTAAAATAAATGTATGGGGTGGAGTGGGGGGCAGGACAGGTATTAAAGTTAAGGTATGAGGCATTGATACAATGGGTGCCCAAGGATGCTGTACACTCACGGCTGACATGAATGCCACTTCTAGCTGGTCTCAAACTAGCATCTCATAACTATTGAAATATATCAGCAATCCTTAGCTGGGTAAATCTCCTTGCATATTGTTTTCAAGCATCGGAGCTGATAAGGTTAGGAAGAAAATATATTGACCAATTATATGTTTTGTTTAGCATCTTACTGCAAGGTCACCTCAACCTGTCTGACCCCTGCAACATGGAGTGCCACTGCCTGCGTGAGACCTACAATCCCGTGTGTGGGAACGATGGAATAACGTATTACTCAGCCTGCCACGCTGGTTGCAAGAAAGCCTCAATAAATCACGACAGTCGGGAAAAGGTGTGTGCAGGATGTCAGCCTTCACTTGTTCTCCTTCTTGGGCCGAAACCCTGTCAATAAGTAACCAAATGATTGAGGTTGATTCTGCTTTCATATAACAGTAACAATAATAAAGTTGGAAGGTCACCTAGTCCACCCCCTTGCTCAGGCAGGAAACCCTATACCATTTCGGACAAATGGCTGTCCAGTCTCTTCTTAAAAACTTCCAGTGTTGGAGCATTCACTGCTTCTGGAGGCAGATTGTTCCACTGGTTAATTGTTCTCACTGTCAGGAAGTTTCTCCTTAGTTCTAGGTTGCTTCTCTCCTTGGTTAGTTTCCATCTGTTGCTTCTTGGCCTGCTTTCAGGCACTTTGGAGAATAGCTTGACTCCCTCTTCTTTGGGGCAGCCCCTGAGATATTGGAAGACTGCTATCCTGTCCCCCCTCCTCCTTCTCTTCGTTAAACTAGACATACCCAATTCCAGCAGCTGTTCCTTATATGCTTTAGCCTCCAGTCCCCTAATCATCTTTGTTGCTCTTCTCTGTACTCTGTCTAGAGTCTCAATATCTTTTTTACATCATGGTGACCAAAACTGGATGCAGCATTCCAAGTGTGGCCTTACCAAGGCATTGCAAAGTGGTATTAATACTTCACGTGATCTTGATTCTACAGTATTTCAGGGGTCTTCAAACTCAGCCCTTTTATGATTTGTGGACCTCAACTCCCAGAATTCCTCAGCCAGCGTACCTGACTGAGGAATTCTGGGAGTTGAAGTCCACAAATCATAAAAGGGCGGAGTTTGAAGACCCCTGACATATTTGGATCCCACCACTGGCTGTACCATTCAGCTGAGGTTCGTTTCTCCTCAGCAACATTGGCTAAAGAAAAGAAATAGACATCATTGTGTTACAGTGTGGAGTGACTGTTCTAAACTACCATTCTTGTTTCTTAAGGTTTATCATGAATGCAGCTGCATTGTTGGACCCAACGCTCCGGTCTCTGGCTTGGCTACGGCAGGGAAGTGTACATCTTCATGTGAAAGAAGGACTCTTCTTTTGGTTTTCATGTTTGTTATCATTCTCTTCACATTCCTAAGTAGCATTCCTGCGTTGACAGCTACATTGCGGTAAGCCAGAGAAAAATAAGATTTATTTTCTCAAAGCTGAGCCGAAAAGAGAGTTTTTTTTAACCATTGTAATCAGGGGTCTCCCAACTTGGCCACCTCAGCCAGCAAATTTGGCTACTTGAAGACTTGTGGACTTATTCCTCAGCCTGCATGGCCGGCTGAGGAATTCTGGGAATTGAAGTCCACAAGTCTTAAAGTGGCCAAGTTGGGAGATCCCTGATCTAAACTCCAGCACTTCTTTCTTTCTTTCTTTCTTTCTTTCTTTCTTTCTTTCTTTCTTTCTTTCTTTCTTTCTTTCTTTCTTTCTTTCTTTCCCTTCCTTCCTTCCTCTTTCTTTCTTTCTTTCTTTCTTTCTTTCTTTATTTATTTCTCTTTCTTTCTTCCTTCCTCTTTCTTTCTTCTTCCTTTCTCTCTTTCTTTCTTTCTTTTCCTCCCTTCCTTCCTTCCTTCCTTCCTATTTCTTTCTTTCCCTTCCTTCCTTCCTCTTTCTTTCTTTCTCTTCCTTCTTTCTTTCTTTCTTTCTTTCTTTCTCTTCCTTCCTTCCTTCTGTCCTTTCCTCTTTCTTTCTTTTTTCTTTCTTTCTCTTCCTTCCTTCCTCTTTTTTCTTTCTTTCTTTCTTTCTTTCTTTCTTTTCCTTCCTTCCTTCCTTCCTCTTTCTTTCTTTCTTTCTCTTCCTTCCTTCCTTCCTCTTTTTTCTTTCTTTTCCTTCCTTCCTTCCTTCCTTCCTCTTTCTTTCTTTTTTCTTTCTTTCTCTTCCTTCCTTCCTCTTTTTTCTTTCTTTCTTTCTTTCTTTCTTTCTTTCTTTCTTTCTTTTCCTTCCTTCCTTCCTTCCTCTTTCTTTCTTTCTTTCTCTTCCTTCCTTCCTTCCTCTTTTTTCTTTCTTTCTTTCTTTTCCTTCCTTCCTTCCTCTTTCTTTCTTTCTTTCTTTCTTTCTTTCTTTCTTTCTTTCTTTCTTTCTTTCTTTCTTTCTTTCTTTCTTTCTTTCTTTCTTTCTTTTGAAATTAAATCTGCAGACAAATTAGTTATTACTCCAGATCAAGATTGGCTATAGCAACAAAACTGAGTTCATATTACACTTTAAATCCTAACTTGATGTGAGCAAACCAGAAATGGCTACAGTTATATACGGTGGCCAAACATATGGTTTAATGGGATGGTCTGGTTGTTCACACAACCTGCTTAAAATGTTTGTCTAAGTTTCTACAACATCCTGAGTCACAAATGAATCAATCAAACCAACTCACCCATTTTTATTCTAATGAATTATACAATATATGTGTACACCATTGTGTTTAAGGATATATTTAACCTATTATTTGGTTTAGAATGTGTTCCATAACAGGTTCTGCTGAAATAAATAAATTTAATCTTGGCTTAATGTTATAGCCTTGTTTGCATGATCTGCTAAAACAGTAACTGGGGCTAAACAGGAAAATGGTCATCCTTATTTTAGTCTAAGTTTCATAGGCATCCATTCAACTGCAGTGACTTCTAAAGGATGGAGCCTGCACAATCATGTCGTAATATAGAATCTACCCTTCCCTGTTTGTACATGTAGTCCTCGACTTACGACGGATAGTTTAGCAATCATTCGAAATGACGACTGAGTTGAAAAGAGGGATTTACGACTCAGATTCAAAGTTCCAATGGTTGGGTCTCCTCCTTAGTCACATGACTGAATTTCAGGTGCTTGGCAAAGCAGCCATATTTACAGCCGTTTGCAATATCCCATTGTCATGGGACCATGTTCTGTGATGGTTTTGCCCCAAACTGGCAGTTACTTCTGGTTTTCAGCAAAACTGTACCCCTAGTGCAGGGCAAGGCAACCTCGGCTCTTTTATGACTCATGGACTTCAACTCCCAGAATTCCTGAGTCAGCGGCTAGGCAACCTCGGCTCTTTTATGACTCATGGACTTCAACTCCCAGAATTCCTGAGTCATAAAAGAGCCGAGGTTGCCTACCCCTGTCCTAGTGAGTCATTGGTTCGCTTAACAACTATGGCATTCGCTTAATGACTGTTGCGAAAAGATTGTAAAATTGGGTCAGTCCTGTGACCGACCTGCTTTATGACCATTGTGATGCGTCGTATGTTGAGGACTATCTATATACACAAGTACATAAGGGAGGATGTTTGCATTACCACACACCTTTGCCATTACTGCTTGCCACTTTCCCCACAGATGTCTAACCTTTCTTTGTCCATCATGTTCTACTCATTTGTTAATACATTCCCACACTTAATTGTACAGAACAAAAGACAGAACTGTCCTGTTTGAGTCGTTCTGTAGCCGACCCTGCTTGCTTTTGTTTTTAAATGTTTGTTTTATGTGTCCCAGGTGTGTTTCCGACAGACAGCGATCATTTGCACTAGGAATCCAATGGATTGTTGTGAGAACACTAGGTACAGTATCCAAACAAGATTTGTAGCCTTCTCCATGTTTTGTGTTAATTAAGATGTTCTAAACTGCTGGAATTTCGGCATTCGTGATACAGACAGTCCTTGTGTCAACACTGCTAACATCGGATGTTTTTGCTTTGACAACATATGGAGATGCAACCATTTTCCTTCTTATGTTTTACTCTTAGAATTAGAGTTAGAAGTAGATGATACTAGAGGGAAGGAGGAGGAATGTGCATGGGAGTTTAGTTAGACATAACAATACTGTAACTCGTGTGAGAACCAAGGTTTTTGAAATAAGAGATGATAAGAATTGACGGGTTGGAGAACTGGAGGGAAAGTCTGCATTTCAAAGGAATTGGAGAATGTGATTTATGACTGTAAATTAGACGAGGGAATTGTGCTTTGATACTATGGGCTCAGGGGAGGGGAATTCAGATTTTGGCTTTGGCTATGTAAGTGCCAACGCTATACTTCTCGAATAAACATTCTTTAAGGTAAACAATGCCTCAAAGTTTTTTGAAGAGTTTCATCTGTCGGAACCATAACACCTTGAACTTACAACTATTTGTTTTGGTGACCACTCAAAGTTAGAACGGCACTGAAAAACATGACTTATGACTGTTTTCCCCACGTATGGCCATTGCAGCATCCCTACGATCAGGTGATCCAAATTTGGATGCACGGCAACTGGCATGTATTTGTGGCAGTTGTACTATCCAGGGCAGTGGTGGGATTCAGCCAGTTCGCACCAGTATGACAGAACCGATAGCTAATTTTTTGTTGCCCAGGCTCAGAATGGACTTCCAGAAGAGGCATCCACACAGAGAACCGCTTGTTCCCCTATTTGAATCCCATCACTGGTCCAGGGATCATGTGATCACCTTAAGTGACCTTGCCAGACAGCTTCCGACAATCAAAGTCAGTAGGGGAAGCCAAATTCACTTAACGTTTGGATTATTCACATCACAGCTGCAGTGATTCGCTTCAGAACTGGAGCAAAAAGGTCGTAAAATGGGGACAAAACTCGCTTCACGACTGCCTTGCTTAGCAACAGAAATGTTGGGCTTGATTGTGGTCACAAGTTGAGGACTACCTGTAGAGACGCCAAGCTAAGAATGTTCCTTTTGTGAAGGATGAGCGCTTTTGATATTGTGCTATTACTGTGAACATATATAAGGTTGATCTTGGAACTGGTCTTTGAAAGAGGCCGTGAACCGTTCTGAGTGAATATTGTCTTACCGCCTGTTCTTTCGGAGTAATATTTTCCATATGAAGTTGGCCAGTGGAAACTTTGAAAATAAAACTGATTCCAACAGAGACAAGATGAAATGTGGTTGACACCATGGAATCAAGCATTCCAGCTAGGCCAGAAATATTGGGGTAATATGAAATGCTTGAGATACATGACACCTCTTCATTTCTGTCTCTCTATAGGGAGCATCCCAGGCCCCATTGCTTTTGGGTCAATGATTGACAAGTCATGTCTCTTGTGGCAGAGCCAGTGCGGTGAACAAGGATCTTGTTATGTCTATCAGAACTCTGCCATGAGTCGGTACACCCTGATCGCCGGTTTGATATTCAAGGTAATTCCGGATTATAGCAATAGCCATAGCAAACTTCTATAGACTTATATACCGCTCTATAGTGCTTTACAACACTCTCTGGGCTGTTTACAATGTCAGCATATTGCCCCCCAACAATCTGGGTCCTCATTTTACCAACCTCAGAAGGATGGAAGACTGAGTCAACCTTGAGCCGGTCAGGATTGAACTCCTGGCAGTTGGCAGAGTTTGCATACAATACTGCATTCTAACCACTGCACCACCAAGGCAATGGAATGGAGTAGGAATAGCAATAGCAATAACACTTAGACTTATATACCTCTTCATAGTGCTTTACAGCCCTTTCTAACCGGTTTACAGAGTCAGCCTCTTGTTCCCAACAATCTGGGTCCTCATTTTACCGATCTCGGAAGGATGGAAGGTTGAATCAACCTTGAGCCGGTCAGGATCGAACTGCCGAACTGCAGGCAGACAGCAGTCAGCAGAAGTAGCCTGCAGTACTGCATTCTAACCACTGTGCCACCACGGCTCCTTATGACGGTCACGGTGTCTTGGGGTCATGTGATCCCCTCTTGTGAACTTCTTACAAGCAAAGTCAAATGGGGAAGACAGATTCATTTAACAACCATGTTACTAACTTAAAAGTGACAATGATTCAGTTAACAACTGTGGCAAGAAAGGTCGTAAAAGGGGGCAAAATTCACTTAACAAACATTTCACTTAGCAACTGAAATGTTGAGGTCAATTTCGTCGTAAATCAAGGACTTCAGTACCTATTTAAGAACAATCATCGTTTTGGAAACAGCTAGACATATCAAGATGTTTTCAGCCATGTTTGGCTCTCCAAGCTTGTTTCAGTTTAGTTTCTGAACGTTTCATTACCAGACTAGGTAACAGCATCATGACCAACTAACGATGTTAGCACAGAAGACATGTATAAGTTAAGGCAAATAGGACAAGAAAATCCTGCTGACGCTGTTGCCTAGTCTGGTAACAAAAAGTTCAGAAACTAAATTGAAACAAGCTTGAAGAGCAAACCGCTGCCAAAATCTAAAACCCGAACTCCAGGTATGTTCTATTATTTCAAAATTGTCTTGTTTAGCAGTGGAAATTTTGGGCTCAGTTGTGGCCTCAAGTCAAGGACTAGCTGTAGTTATGTTTCACAAATAAATTATTCCGGGTGGTTTATAGAAGGTAGAGACCAGATTGTCTGGAGAACATAAACAATGGGCACAGAAGAAGCACAGCGAGGTCAAAATTACCATGTATGGCGTATCAATGATGCCTTTGTGCAAGGATGTCATGATGCATAACCTTGCTCGCCTTCCATGTAAATAACAGCATTAGTCTATATTAGAGCAAGATGTAGGAAGAATCAAAGATGGGCACCAATATACAGTTAGTCCTTGGCTTACAACCATTTATTAAGTGACCATCCAAATTTACGACAAATTTACATGGGTGCTTCATCACTGGAGATTTTTAAGAAAAGACCAGACAATCACCTGTCTGAGATGGTTTAGGTCCGTGGTGGCAAACCTATGGCACGCATGCCACAGGTGGCATGCAGAGCCCTCTGTGGGCATGTGTGCCGTCGCCCGTGGCCTAGGCTTTCAGCTGGGTTTTATAAAACCTTTTCGCTTTAGGCCTCCACCACCATGTGCAAAAAAAGAGAAAAGTTCAATCAATCAGTTTCAACTTCTCGTGGGCAAAAAAAAAGATCTCACAAAGTTGGAATTGATTTACTGAACTTTTTAGTCCCACCCAGTCTGCCGTTACCACCACAGCCACGCTCATCCAATGGGCCACGCCCACCCAATGGGCCATGGCCACCCAATGGGCCATGACCACCCAATGGGCCACACCCACCCAGCACCCGACGATGCATAAGTGGGTTTTGGGTTGCAGTTTGGGCACTCGATCTCTAAAAGGTTCGCCATCAGTGGTTTAGGTTCTTCTGCTTGAGCAGGGGGCTGGACTAGATGACCTCCAGGGTTCCTCCCAGCTCTATTCTAGTCTAAACTCAAGGAGCCAATCAATTCCAGCTCCGATTATCTTTTTTTTTTCCTTTTATATTCTGAAAAACTGGGAACCAATAGAAATGGTGTTCGTGCTGAAAAATTAAAAAAACCCCTTTTGATATCTTGCAGGTGATGGGCTCGTGTTTCTTCTTACTAGCCTGCCTGCTCTACAAAGCCCCTCCCCCTGAATCTCTCCATGGCAGCTCAGCCCTCTCTGAAAATGGCACCTGTGATCTGCAGGAGAGCAAATCTTCACACCAGTCTCCGCAGGGCAACGACATATAGCCTTTGGGCTTCAACAGACAACTTTCTCCTACCTGCCCAGAAACTGGGACAAAATCATGTCTTACTCTTCTCTTCCTGCAAAGTTTGCTTCTTTTCCCCTTTTGCAGGAAAAATAATTTTGTGAAGATCTCTTATTGTTTTGTTTTGTTTTTTACAAGCAACAAAAGCACACAGGAAAACTTGAATCCTAATTTTCCCTCCCTGAAAAGACGGAAAAAGGATTTTGAAGAGACGAGTTTCATTTTCTCACCGATCCAGGTTGCAATTCTGAGATGGTCTTGGGATATTGAAAAAACAAAAAGGGAAGTGACAACTCCTGCAGGATGCTGGAAGTTATTTTTCCTGATTTGCTTAGTGAAAGACCCTCATTTCAGGGAATGTTTTGATCTTGTATTTAGACACCAAAACCTGACCTCAAGATTTGTGCCATCAGTTCTCTCCACCTCTTACAGTATTAATTTATTTTAAAAAAGGGCTAAACATAACTTTATACCATTCCTTTATAAAGCACTAAAGAAGCCAACCACACGCTGGACCATATATTCAAGCTGGTGTAAAATCTTCTTTGGTATAAATACGGTATAAACATCGTCTAGCCAACCCATAGTTTGTTGATTAAAAATGTGAAATCTTTCTTAGGTAATTTTTTTCTGTCTGTTATTGCTTGATGAGTGCAATGTTGCAAAGGATTGTGGGCATGAATCTGCTCTGGTAGATGAAATATCTAACACAGCTTTTTTTTTTATTGAAAATTTTTTAAAAGTTTTACAAATAACAACAAAAAAAAACAAAACAACCCTCACCCAATCCCTCCCAAACCACCCCCTCCCTCCCCCCCCCGAACTTCCCAGAACTGAATATAGGCTTATTTAAAATTTTAAAAAACCTAAACAAATTTTAACAACTTATAAAATAATTAATAATAAAATATATATAACATAAACTTTAAAAAGAAAAAGAACTTAAAAAGAAAGAAAAAAAGAAAGAAAGAAAGAAGAAAAAAAATAAGAGAAAGAAAAAAAGGAAAGAAGAAAAATAAAGGAAAACAATCTATAAAATATCAAAAAAAATTTTTATACAAGTTATAAAAAAGCTAAATGATATTTTTTTTATATCTAATTTATATTGTATGAAATTTATCCATTTTTCCCATACAACATAAAATTTCTCTTGCGATTGCTCCTTTAAAAAAGCCGAAATCTTTGCCATTTCCGCCAAATAAGAAACTTTTAAAAACCACTCTTGCAAAGTAGGCAAAGATTCCTTCTTCCAATATTGCCCTACTAACAGCCTTGCGGCTGTAATCAAATTTAACATCAATATAACCTCCTTAGTATCACAATCAGTAACAATACCTAACAAAAATAATTGCGGGGTAAATTTTACCCTCCTTCTAAAAATTCTTTGAATATTCCACCATATCTTAATCCCACCAAATATGATAATAGGTGGCGTCCAAACAACCACATCTCCAACATTTAGGCTGTAGATCAGGGTACATAATAGACATTTTTTGTGGATCAAGGTGCCATCTATAAAACATTTTATAAAAATTCTCCCTTAAGTTCTGGGCTTGTGTAAATTTAACATTCCTCACCCAAATAATTTCCCAGATATCCAGATATCTAACACAGCTTTGACACAACCAAAAACGGCCATTTATGCTGGATATCTTTCAATCTTTGGTCAGTGAGTGATGAACAGGTTATCAATGTATTAAACCCTTTTGTGATCATTGGCAGTGAGGATCTAGTCATCACATCACATATGGTTGGTTTCTTGTTTCTTTGTTTGATCCTGTCTATTCACTCCAAAAATGTCTATTCACCCCCCCAAAATCCATATAATGAACAATTGAGGGAACTAAGTATGCCTAGACCAGGGGTAGGCAACCTTGGCTCTTTTATGACTCGTGCAACTCCCAGAATTCCTGAGCCAGCCATGCTGAGGGGAAAGGGAGAGATTTCCAAGCTGAGCCATGCTGGCTCTGGAATTCTGGGAGTTGAAGTCCACGAGTCATAAAAGAGCCAAGGTTGCCTACCCCTGCTCTAAACTAATAAAATCTACATTAATTAACATTAATTATGCTTTCATATGTTCCTCTAATTGAGGGGTCTTCAAACTTGGCTCCTTTATGAGTCGTGTACTTCAGCTCCCAGAATTCTTGAGCCATCCATGCTGAGGGAAAAGGGAGAGGTTTCCAAGCTGAGCCTTGCTGGCTCAGGAATTCTGGGAGTTGAAGTCCACGAGTCATAAAAGAGCCAAGGTTGCCTACCCCTGGCCTAGTCCATTGTTTCTCCACCTCAGCAACTTTAAGAGGTGTGGACTTCAACTCCCAGAATTCCTGAGCCAGCCATGCTGAGGGAAAAGGGAGAGGTTTCCAAGCTCAGCCATGCTTGCTCAGGAATTCTGGGAGTTGAAGTCCACGAGTCATAAAAGAGCCAAGGTTGCCTATCCCTGGTCTAGACTAACAAAGAGAAACGCTAAGGGTGACATGATAAGGACTGCCACAAAGAAGAGGGAGTCAAGCTATTCTCCAAAGCACCTGAAGACAGGACAAGAAGCAATGGATGGAAGCTTATCAAAGAGAGACCCAACCTAGAACTAAGGAGAAATTTCCTGACAGTGAGAACAATCAGTGGAATTGCTTTGTCTTCAGAAGTTGTGGGTGCTCCATCACTGGAGGTTTTCCAGAAGAGATTGGGCAGCCAATTGCCTGGAATGGTATAGGGCAGGCATGCCAAACTTGCGACGTCACGTGACGTCGCGCAACACATCACAAATTTTTCCCCATTGCCGGCAATGGGGTAGGCGCAGTTTCAGCGTGACGCATCCGGCCCGCAGGCCAGCAGTTTTGACATGCCTGGTATAGGGTCTTCTGTTCAACCAGGGGTTGGACTAGAAGATGGAGGAGGAGGAGTAGAAGGAGGAGGAAGGGGAGGAGGGGGGGGACGAGGAGGAGGAGGACCAGAAGGAGGAGGAGGGGGAGAGGAGGAACAGGAGGAGCAGGAACAGAAGGAGAAGAAAGGGGAGGAGCAGGAGGGGGAAGAGGAGAGGATCAGGGGGAGAAGGAGCAGAAGGAGGAGGAAAGGGAGGAACAGGTGGAGGAGCAGAAAGAAGTGGAGGAGCAAGAGGGGGAAGAGAATAGGATCAGGGGGAGGAGGAGGAAGAGGAGGAGGAGGAGGAGGAGGAAGAGGAGGAGGAGGAGGACCAGAAGGAGCAGGAGGGGGAGAAGGAACAGGAGGAGCAGGAGCAGAAGGAGGAGCAAAGAGGAGGAGGAGGAGGGGGAAGAGAGGATCAGGGGAGGAGGAGCAGAAGGAGGAGGAAGGGGAGGAGCAGGGGGAGGAGAAGAAAGGGGAGGAGCAGGAGGGGGAAGAGGAGAGGAACAAGGGGAGGAGGAGCAGAAGGAGGAGGAAGGGGAGGAGCAGGGGGAGGAGAAGAAAGGGGAGGAGCAGGAGGGGGAAGAGGAGAGGATCAGGGGAGGAGGAGCAGAAGCAGCAGCAGGAGGAGGAGCAGGAGACGGGAGGAAGAAGGGGAGGAGGAGGGGAAGAGCAGAGGAGCAGGAGGAGGAGGGGGAGGAGGAGAGGAGCAGCAGCAGGAGGAGATTTCAGTGACAATAAAAAGGGAGGAAAAATGATTTCTTAATGGTTACCTCCAAGGTCTTCTAAAATCAACCTGCCAAACGGACATTGCCAAATGCACAAAATCGGTTGGCAAAATTTTTCTCAAACGGTTGGTTTGCCCTTGTTGAAAATGCATAGGGAGGGCTAATGCTTGAATTCTTGTATTTTATTTTATTTTATTTTAAAAATATTTTTAATGGCTTAAATGGGTGGGCCCCTTTCCCCCCCCATTGCTGGTGGTAAATGGTTTTTTTTTCTTTTTTAAAAAATTAATTCTTAAGCCACAAAGCTACATATTTGGCACAAAGGGTGGGAAACTAACACTCATTCATAGCTAAAGGGGAGGTCATGAAAATGAAGCATTGGTTCCTGGGGCTGGCGATCTATCATTTCTTTTAAATTTAAAAGTAATGTGCTAATAATAAAAGCACTTGGAGCCTTTTTCCTTGGCGAGAGGTTTTTTTTTTTTTCCATCTGCAAGGAAGAATTTAACTTTTATTTCCACTTGCAGGTGGAACAAAACTCTTCTGCTTTTTATTTGCCTATGGAAAAAGAATCTATTCTTTGGATGAGGAAGTGTCCACATTCAATATTTAACCACGTCTCCAGTTACAAAGCCAGAGAGCAAGAAATGGAGGGCGAAATACAGGCAGTCCTCAATTTGCAACAGTTCATTTAGTGACCCTATGAAGTTACAACGGCACTGAAAAAGTGAGTCATGTTTATGAGCCAGGGCACCTCTTCCGATCTTGCACTATATCTTTTTTTTTTTAATTGAAAATTTTTAAAGTTTTACAATAATATACTCCCTCCTCCCTCCCCCCATTACCCTCCCCCCACCTTCCCAGAGCTGAATACAGGGTTAAAAAGAAAAACAATAAAAAACATACAATTTAAATAAACATCAAACAATTATACATACATCCAAGAAACATTTAAATACTTTAACTCCAATACATAAAAACAAAAATTCTAACCATTATCCTTAACATAAGTTATTCAAAAGCTAAATAATACTTTCTAATTTCATATTTATTCTGTATAAAATTCACCCATCTTCTCCACACTGAAGTGTATCTCTCTTGCGATTGGTCTTTCAAATAAGCCGAAATTTTTGCCATTTCAGATAAATAAGAAACTTTAAAAAACCATTCTTCTAAAGTAGGCAAAAAATCCTTCTTCTAATATTGCCCAATCATCAACCTTGCCGCTGTAATTAAATTCAACATTAAAATAATCTCTTTGCTATCACAATCAACAATGATACCTAACAGAAACAATTGTGGTGTAAATTTTATCCTTCTGTTAAAAATCTTCTGAATGTTCCACCAAATCTTGATCTATATCTTTGAGTTGTGCTCTGGCTGGTGTCAGCTTTGAGGGTGTCCAGCCATCATATTCTTTGACAGGCTGGTTTCCTTTTACTGCTAACTCTTCCAAGCATAATTGCTTTTTCCAGTGAATTCCCGCATATGACATGGCCAAAGTAGAGAGAGAGAGAGAGAGATGCAAGGAAGGGGAGCGGAAAGGGTCTTGTGCTTGTGCAGAAAAACAGGAGGAGAGGTAATGCTACATATTGTGCCTTGATCTTCTGACACAATGACACAGTGACAGATTTTATCTTCCGGGGTTCCAAGATCACCTCAGATGGGGACTGCAGCCAAGAAATTAAAAGACGCTTGCTCCTGGGGAGGAAAGCTATGGCAAATCTAGACAGCATACTAAAAAACAGAGACATCACCCTGCCAACAAAAGTGCGTAAAGTCCAGGCCATGGTTTTCCCAGTTGCAATGTATGGCTGTGAAAGTTGGACCATAAGAAAGGCTGAGCGCCAAAGAATTGAGGCCTTTGAACTATGGTGCTGGAGAAGACTCCTGCGAGTCCCTTGGACTGCAAGGCGTTCAAACCGGTCAGTCCTAGAAGAGATCAACCCCGACTGCTCTTTAGAAGGCCAGATCCTGAAGTTGAAACTCAAGTACTTTGGCCACCTAATGAGAAGGAAGGACTCACTGGAG